AATGTCTGTGGACCGTGGGTTGGGTGGGGTATGCCGCATATAATAGGAGTATGTCAACGTCTGTGGACCGTGGGTTGGGTGGGGGATGCCGCATATAATAGGAGTATGTCAACGTCTGTGGACCGTGGGTTGGGTGGGGTATGCCGCATATAATAGGAGTATGTCAACGTCTGTGGACCGTGGGTTGGGTGGGTGTGCAGGAGGTATGCTCACAGGAAGGTGAGGCTGGTGAGCATGTCGTCGACATCCGTGGGGAACCACTTCATGTTGTTCTTTAAGCCGTCTCCTTTGCTCCTTTTTGAGTGTGCAAGGAGGAAGCATGTTCACTCACAGGAAGGTGAGGCTGGTGAGCATGTCGACATCCGTGGGGAACCACTTCATGTTGTTCTTTGCAAGGGACCTGGATGGACCGTGGAAGAGAAAGAAGTTATGAGCTGAAGGTGATCGCGGCGAGATGTAACCTGGTAATGAACGACAGGTGGGAGGACAGGGAAGCCTCCCAGGCACCAGGGAGGGGCTTTATGGAGAAGCATTCTCCAAGACAGTTCATACATTATACACATACATACACTACAGCATGGTGGGTCGAGGGAGCATGGCACGTACAGGTGCTGCAGGCTGGTCATCTGCACGATGAACGCCTGGCCGTTGAATGCGGAGAAGTTGTTGGCTGCCAGGTCCCTGGGGAGAGAGGGGGCGAGGGGGCAACAAGGGAAGGGAAGAAGCAAAGGATGCTAGAGTTGACTCCTTAGTCATCTGCACGATGAACGCCTGGCCGTTGAATGCGGAGAAGTTGTTGGCTGCCAGGTCCCTGGGGAGAGAGGGGGCGAGGGGGCAACAAGGGAAGGGAAGAAGCAAAGGATGCTAGAGTTGACTCCTTAGTCATCTGCACGATGAACGCCTGGCCGTTGAATGCGGAGAAGTTGTTGGCTGCCAGGTCGCGGTGGAGAGAGGGAGCGGGAGGGCAACAAGGGAAGGGAAGAAGCAAAGGATGCTAGAATTGACTCCTTAGTCATCTGCACTATGAACGCCTGGCCGTTGAATGCAGAGAAGTTGTTGGCTGCCAGGTCGCTGTGGAAGTAAGGGAGGACGAGGAGCGGGAGTGGGAGGGACGAGAGGGGAGTGTTGTCCGTGGCTCAAGTGCCGATGGGGTTAAGAAAGGAAGAAACGAATGGGAGGCGACAGGGGCGGGCAGGTGTTAAGAGCTGTGTGAGAGCATGAGTGTGCGCTTACAGGTATGTGAGAGCATCGAACTCAGAGAGCTCAAAGGTGGGGATGTTCCCAACGAGGCCCGCCCGCTTGAGATCCCTGTGGTGATGCGGGCAACCCAGCCCAGCCGCAGAGCAGCAGAGAAGCACACGACAAGGCAGAAACATGACGGGAAAGGGGAGAGGAGAGGGGTGCAAGGAGAGACGGCGTGGTGAGGGAATGGTGAGGGCGTGAGGAGGGTGTGGTGAGGGAATGGTGAGGGCGTGAGGAGGAGGGTGTGGTGAGGGCGTGAGGAGGGTGGGAGACATAGACACGACACACATGGACACACACACATGGAAACAACATGCGCCACATGGGACTTGGCAGTAGCAGTAACTCACAGGTGCACCACGCGGCGAGTGACGGGATCGCAGCGGATGTCAGTGGTCCAGGCCTTCTCACACGGGCTCCCCTCCCCTCCCCACGTCGACAGCACCCCAGGGGCCGTCGACTGCAGCGCTGCCTGCAGCTGCAGCAGCGCCGCCACTGGGGAGAAGGGAGAGAGAGAGAGTTGGAGGAGGGAGAAGTGGGAAAGGGGGAGGAGGAGGGGTAGGACACAAGGGGAGCAGGACGATGGGACCAGACCAGGTGTGGGGTGGGGATGGGGGAACGGGGAGAGAGAAAAGGTAGGGGGGAGCTTGGAGGAGAGAGGACACGAGGAGCACACGTCCAAATAGCCAGACAATTGGTTTGGCATCTGCATTTGCCGAACAATGAATTCAAATAAAAATCAGCCACTTCATCACTGTCCCGAATCTGGTGATTGGCAGAGTGTCGCCAGAGCTCCTCCTGACTGACGTCACTTACTGTCAGGCGTCTGCTGCGGGCCGGTGTCGGCAGCACCCAGCAGCAGAGGGTGCAGCGAGAGCAGCGCCACCAGCAGCAGCACGAACGGCAGGTCTAGCCCACGTCTTCCGCTCACAGGTATAGAACACGCCATCGCTGGGAGAAAGATAGGAGGGATTTGCGAGCGAAGGAGAAAAAAAAAAGAAAAAAATGGCGGATAGGAAGGAAAGTGATTTCAACGGTGAAGGGTGGAGGTGAGAGAGCAGCGCCACCAGCAGCTGCACGAACGGCAGGTCTAGCCAGCGGCTTCCGCTCACAGGTATATATAAAGGCCGCCGTCGTTGGGAGATGGAAGGAACTCGCGGAGGGAGGGAAAGAAGGCAGCGAAGAGTTAGGGACAATACACTTGCTCGTTTTCTAGATCGTTTGTTTCTGAGATGTGGTCGGAGAGTGTTCCTGTGTCCACGACGGGAACGCACTTATTGTAATTGGTGAGGTTTGTTCTCGTTATATGCACGTTCGTTAGTCATAGCGCTGTTATGAGAGCACTACCCGAAAAATCACTTTGAGACGCGTTAGCAGACTGCATTGACGAGCTTACTATTCCCCCGTATTTGCGTTTTGAGTCGAATCGAAAAACACTCACGTACGAATCCAACAGCAGTCGTATGAGTTGACTTAAAAGTGCTGGCATATGGCTTTGCCGCGCGGAATTTAGTTCAGATCAGAAGTAGCTCGTGTACGCAAGCAGACTACGTGGGCGAACAGGGTGATCTCCGCTGTCTTCTGAGACTTGCATCCCAAAGGCGATCGTTTATTGAGCCGACTAAAAGAATCTGATATTCGACGGTTCAGGAAACCTGTAAGGTGGCCATATGAATGAACACCAAAATGCGTACACCCCGCACCGTTAACATCGGCGAGCATGACATCTGAATCTCATGACGTAAGAAATTTAAAAGCTGAGATGATGCAAAAAGCGTGTGAACAAAACGTACACAGGCGCGACCTATTCCGCAGGCGCGGGACTCAATACTGCAGCTGCGACGAAGACAAAAATTTCGCAAATACGATTTCTTTGTTTGAGAGTCTATATGAACGTGGTTGTGGGATTATTGACAGGAAAGGGGGCGGGGATGCACTGCAACAACCCGGCTCAGCGTCAGGCAGCCTGGCAACCTTACCAAAGCTGGGCAAATAGGTTACGCGAGTTATCAGCTAGCATTGTCGATGCACAAAAAGATTCTAGGCAGCATTATATTGAGAAAATGCATTGGCACAACATGCGCCTAGGGTAAGGTGTGACGCCGGACAAAAGGAGATGCTAAAGGAGGGTAACAGATGGCGAAACATGCGTTCGAGATAGTCGGCGGTTTCCTGCCATTCGTCCTATCTGCGATGAATGCAACATTGGAAAACTAACTTGCACATCTCGCAATATCCATTGTTGTACGCGACATTGACATTTTAGAAGGCATTGCGAGTTACATAGACTCTCACCTGTCCACGATGACAGCGGTCAGAACTCTCCCGAAACTGTCGCCTTCCTTTCCGGTCTATCTTAGAGCAGCGAACTAGGTTGGGAGCCGACCAGGTTTTATCCCAATCCCAACCCTAACATAGCAAATGTTGAAGGAATGAATGCACCACCAACACGAAGAGAAAGAAAACTACCTGTTTTCTATCTTGCTCCTCGAAACCAGGTTCCAGAGCTGGCTCTGATTTTGAATGAACCAAGATTTGTGAATGCTGGCTGGGAAAGGATGAATGGATGGACGGGTGGGTGGGTGGAGGTAGACGGTGGGGGAGGTGGACGGGGAGGGATGGGGAGGATTATGCGTGGGTGGAAGTAGAAATATTAAGATTGGAGATGGGTGGGGGAGTCGGTGTGAAAATTGGTGGTGCTGGCGACCTGTGTCTGATGCTGGAAGAAGGCTATCGAAGTGGGAGGCTGGCATGACAGACAAGCTTCCGAGCCTATTTCTGCTTGAAAATGCCCTCGTGTTTTTCAAGGCACATCCAACCGTCTGTACCTCATTGCATACATCGTGATCGTTTGTTCCGTCGTTGCCGTTACGATCGCCCCAATCAGAATGATACGGCAATATCCTTGAATTTTGATGACAAGGTCAGGAGGAGCAAACCTTCCCTTGCACAGCTGGAGCTGGAAACGCTTTGCGTGAAGCAGGTTCTGGCGGCAGCCAAGCTGTGCAATAAACATTTCAGTGCTGCCCTCACCTGCCCTTCATTGGATGGAATAATGCAACTCCCAACTCAGCTGTGCAGAGGGATAATCGGATTATCCCTCGTGATTCAAGGTGCTTGACGGTGCTTCCACAAAACCAGCGCGTGAAACTCGAAACTTCGTAACATCTCGTGATTCGGATTTCGCCGGTTTCGCAGAACAATTGTAACCACGCCCTTGTACTTTGAAAAAAACTAAATTATTTTCACTTGCACAGTTTATTTCAATTGAGCCAGCTTTTCAACTCACTTCACATGCGCAAATCTGGATTCTGGAAGACCTTTCGGCCGTCCACATCACGACCTAGCGAGACCTACGGCAGCCACGGAGGTCTTGTTTCACACCGGAGGGTAGCGTTCTCAGGAATAGAAAACGAGGCGTATGCCTTCCTAGCATCTAGGAGACGCGATGAGCGACACCGTGGATCGCTTAGTCGGTGGCGTGCTGGTTCTGATCGCTCTTACCGTTTTCTCGTACTACAGCATCTGGGTCCTCGTTACAGTGAGTACCATGTCCCCGTACTGATTTTTTTTGTTGACAAGATCGTCTCGATACAGGTCTGGCTCTCGGCCTACGATTGTTTGCGTCCCAAAATTGATTGATGTGCGGGTTAGTTCGCGACTTCTGGTTACAGTGCTTCCTGTGTCGTCGTCAATTATCGCCTCCCCGATCCGAGTGCCTCCTCGGGCCTTCAACTCCCTCTTCATACCACGCATCCATGCGTGCCGTGCTCGTTTCTCCTGGTTCTGCTGTCTCTCCCTTTCTCCTCCCCTCTTTCCTTTTCTTCCAACAACCCCCCCTTCTCCCCCCTCTCCCCCCCACCTTCACCCCACCCCTCTCTCTTTCCTTCCCACCGGGTCACCGCCGAACGACACGCATTCTTCCTTCCCCACATCTATGCCATGCTTGCGCGTCCCTCGTTGTTTCCACTGTCTCCCCTTTCCCCCCATCCCTCCCAACCCAAGTGCAGCCGTTTCTCCCGGACGGCCATTTCATCAATACGCTGTTCCTCCCGCGCATCTATGCGGTTCTTATCCCCTCTGTTGCCACCACTCCGCTTTTTTCTTCCCCCTTCCCCCCTGCCCCTTCCCCCCCGCCCCTCGCCCTTTCCCCTTTTTTCACCCCCAGCCATTCCTCCCGGACGGCCATTTCATCAACGCGCTCTTCCTCCCGCGCATCTATGCAGCTCATCCCCGCTGCTGCTGCTGCTGTTTCCCCCTTTCATTTTTCCGCTGCCCTTCCCCATCCCATCCCACCTCCAGCCGTTTCTCCTGGATGGCCATTTCGTCAATGCACTCTTCCTCCCGCGCATCTATGCCGTGCTCATCCCCGCTGCTGCCGCTGTGCTCATGCTCCATCCCCACCCACCCTCTCCCACCCACCCCCCCCCCCCCCAGCCATTCCTTCCGGACGGCCATTTCATCAACGCGCTCTTCCTCCCGCGCATCTATGCTCATGCTCCCCTCCCTACCCACCGTCTCCCACCCTCTCCCGTTCTTACCCACTCCCTCCCACCTCCAGCCGTTTCTCCCGGACGGTCATTTCATCAACGCGCTCTTTCTCCCGCGCATCTACGCTGTTCTCATCCCTGCTGCTGCCGCTGTGCTCATGCTTGGCTTCGTCCTCATCTTCTTTGCTGCTGTGCTCATGGGGCAGAAGACTGGCAAAGCCAAATCCAGCTGATACACTACACCCTCATACCAACCCATAATACCATAAATTCTTCTCCACCTATCTATGTGACCAATTCCCAATAGGGTGCATTATGCACATAGTATGGTCTATTAGGGGGTCTAGCAGCCCAGCGAATGTGTTAGCAATTTACAGAACAGAAATTTAGGTGTGTGTGTTATCCTTTCCATCCCAGTCCTTTCCATAAAGATCTGTACACCTAACAACATAAAGGCAATACCATGCCTGCTCTGATCTGATGTCTTGCACAAGCACATATATTCAGAAACTGCTGGTGCTTTGCACAGAAGGCTCAAAGCCATTCTAGCTATCCACACGCGAGAGGTCAGATGGAGAGCAAATGTTGCCAGCCTACCACATGCCCCCATCAGATTCATACTGGTACCAGGGTAGCAGCAGTAAGATCCTGTATAGTTTTGGGATGGGAACCAGATTTACGGTAGCTACTGTATCCCAGGATAACGTACGGTACCGTACTGCAGGCATACTTGATGCATCAGAGGCCGGAATGCCACCCCAAATGCATACAGGTGGGGTAGTTTGCAGCAGAGACTCAATATGCATCGACCGATCAATGAGTCACTCCCAGCCGGAACGCTACGCTACCTTTCGAGGCGCCTCGAAAGCCTTGTGCAGCGTCACTCCATTCGCCCAGTAAGGGGCCGGAATGCCACTCCAAATGCGTACGGACGGGGTGGCAGCAGAAACTCCTTGTGCACCGATGGGGTCCAGCTGTCGTCGCCGCGCTGCTGCCCCATGCACTGCTCAACTCGTCACTCCCGCTGGCCCATGAGGGGCCGGAACGCCACCCCGAATGCGTACGGGCGGGGCGGCAGCAGAAACTCCTTGTGCACCGATGGGGTCCAGCTGTCGTCGCCGCCCACCCCCATGATGGCATGATCCAGATGCACCTGAAAGGGTTGTGTGTGTGGGTGTGAGTAGCAGAGGGGGGGGAGAGAGGAGGTAATCAGGTAGGTATCCTGAGATTTGGTTCGGTGGTCAGCTGGAGTCCTGCTGTCGTCGCCGCCCACCTCCATGATGGCATGATTGAGATGCCCCGATGACATGGAGGTGGACGGCATGATTGTTGCAATGCAATCATGCCAATTCCTCCTTGTGCTGCGCCCACCGACTCTCGAATCAACTCAGAAATAAACATTTGCTGAGTCGACTCAGAAGCCACCTCTTTCACTCCACTCACATGGTTGAACTCCTCGTCTTCAATCAATTCCTCCTCGTGCTGTGCTCGATGCAGCTCCTCTGCAGAATACCCACTCGCACTGAACTGGCAGATGGCGTATTCAACCGGCCTCTCCCAGCGCTGCACTCGAAAACTCTTCAGTAAGACTCTCAAGACACCGCTTTTGAGTTGGCCCTCCAGTTACCTCGTTTCATTCGACTCACAAGTCACCTCCTTTGAGTCAGTTAAGCCACTCACATGGTTATACTCCTCGTCTTCAATCAGTTCCTCCTCATGCTGTGCTCGATGCAGCTCCTCTGCCGAGTACCCACTTGCACTGAAATGCACCACTGCCCTCCCTCCCTCCCTGCCCTCCTCGCTCCCTCCCCCACGTCCCTCCCCTCCTCCTATCTCCACTGGCTCTATAACAAGCCCTAAGTAAGGAACTTTCTGGAATACCTCCCTCCCCTTCCCCCCATCCGCCTCCTTTCTTTCCTCCCCTTGCGCTTCCACCTGTGCTCCCCCCTCTGCTTCTGGCTGTGAACCGCCGCCTTCTGCACCTCCCTGTGGGTTTTCCACTGATCCCTGTTGTTCCCTCTCCTGTGTGCTTGTAAAGAGTGTGAACCAACGCGTGTCCACTCTCGCGCCATTTTCCCCAGGAGCAATGTACGGCACGTGGAGGGAATTCACCGGCAAATAGTGAAGCGCCACGTGTGCAGACTGCTTCCGGTCAGGATAACATTCATGCGGGCCCCGCCCGGACCAGACCGCGTTGGAGAGTTTTTTTGCTGCCCGGAACCGCATTCCGACGCGCGGTAGGGGCGGCAGGGCAGGGCTTGGGTCCACCCAAAATTTCACAACAACCTGCCCGCTGCCATGGATCTGCCATTCTGACTTGAGCCGGACCCAGCAGTCCACGTCAGAAAGTTTCTTTGCCTGCCCGCCGCTCGCTGATGCTTCAACTTCCACCCCTCCATAAGCCTCGACCAGATTGGTTGGGGCAGCACCCGCTTCCACAACTCCCTCCTCAGAAATTTCATCTGCCCGGGGTCGATAAGCTGCCTCTACAACCACGGAAACCGTCCCATCCTTTCCAATCGAAACTTTCAAGGATTCATCATCACCCTCTCCCTTCTGCCCCTCCGTGCCCTTTCCCTCTTCACCACTCCCCTCTTCGTCTTTCTCCACTCCCCCCTTCTCTCCCTCCTCTCCGACTCCTTTCCCTCCTTCTACAGAAACCACTGTAGCATCTCCCCCTAGGGAAATCACCCCCCCAGCGTCAGCAGCAGCGAGGGTGCTGAGCCCGGCAGCCTTCCATCGGGCAGCATAGCTGGCAGCGCCGCCTCCCTTGTCGTTGTCCGTGGGTGCCCGCCACAGGGCGAGGCAGGGGGCAGCGAGGGACGGGGGCAGAAGCACATCTGAACCGTTGATCTGAGGATGGGAGGAGAGGCAAAAGAATGGAAATGGGAGGATTGGGGGTGCAGGGGGGGTAATGGCAGAAGCGGAACAGAGGAGGGATGGGGTTTCTAGATGGTATGAGGGAGATGCTTCCTTTCTTAGCTCAACACAAAATAGTCAAATGTCAAGTTCAGCATAAGTAGTGAACATGAATACAATGGAATAGTCACGTGATTGAAGGAGTGTTCTGAAACGTCCCAATACATTCCAAGTTCAGCAAAAGTAGTGAACATGAATACGATGGAATGCTATGACGGAAACCCGAACAAACCCTAAACCCTGAACAAGCCCCACCTTCCAGGAAAGTGCACCACCGGTCTTGACATGAATAGTGATTTCGAACGAGCCATCAGTGGACGTGACAAGAACAGATGATTGGCGGACGGGTAGAGGAGGCTCAGAGAGCGCAGGTTCGGAAATTGCAGGCTTGGTGGAAGGCTCGGAAATGGTTGAGGTGATTGCTCCTTTGGGCAGCTTGAAGGGCAGCTGAACAGATGCAACAACCTGCCCGGGATCGCACCACCTTGTTCTCTCATTCACTGTAGCAGTGAACAGTGCAAAGAGCTCTGAGTCAGCGCTGACATTATGCGCCGCCCAGTCCAAGTCAGCAGGGATGGGGCTGGGGATGATGTGGCGCTGACGTGGCAGGATGGTGGTGGGAATGGCGAGTGGGCTGGAGAGGATGGGAGTGGGAGGAGAGGGGGGGAGGGCGGTGGCGGGTTGCGGGGGGGGAGGGAGGGAGAAGAGAGAGAAGGAGAAGGAGAAGGCGGAGGAGGGCTGGTAGAAGCTCTTGTTGAATACCTGGTGGAAGGGCGGGTGGGGAAGGCGGAAGAAGGGAAAGGGAGTAGAAGGGGGATAAGTGAGAGGACTTTTGAGACGTCTCAAGAGAGAAGGAGGAGAAGGCGGAGGAGGGCTGGTAGAAGCTCTTGTTGAAAACCTGGTGGTTAGAGAGAGGGGAGGAGGGGGGGAAGGGGAAAGGGGGGGAGAGAGAGAGGGGAAGGTGTAGAAGGAGAGGGGTAAGTGAGAGGCGTATTTTGTGGGAGGATATGGGAGGTGACAAAGAAGAGTTGAAGATTGGACAGGGAGATAAGGGCGGAGATGAAGAGATTGAGTGCGGTACAGAGGGGTGTACGTGGTGGGCATGCGGGTCCCTCACACCCACAAACACTCTATTGGTATGCATCCCTCTAAACCACTCTGCAGCACTCTACATCCCTCAGCACCGCTGTGCATGCTCCCAGCTCGACACGTGTCATACCTCAACGTCACCCTGCTCCGTCCACTTAAAGCCAAAGTAGCGATACACGTGGGCCAGCTCTGGTGGTGGGGCGTGAATGAGGGATGGAGGGGTGGAGGGGATGAGGGGGGTGGAGAAAGGTGAAAAGAGGGGAACAGGATACAGGAGGGATAACACGAGGCTCCACTTCATTGCTGCTCTGCTCCGTCCACTTAAAGCCAAAGTAGCGATACACGTGGGCCAGCTCTGGTGGTGGGGCGTGGAGGGGTGGACGAATGGTGGGATGGTGGAGAAAGGTTACATGAATGAGGGGTACAGGAGGGAAGTTATGTGTCGCCTCCTCATTGCTACTCTGCTCATACATGCATCAACTTATATATCAGTATGTATACATCAACTTCACATGTCAGCCCCCTTACCTCTGATGACAGTATGCATGCAGCGCATGGCATGGTGCAGCATCATCCTATCATGCGACACGAACCCATGGTTCAGAATCTGAATGTATCGTTAACCCATGGTTCAGAATCTGAATGTATCGTTAACCCATGGTTCAGAATCTGAATGTATCGTTAACCCTTGGTTCAGAATCTGAATGTATCGTTAACCCATGGTTCAGAATCTGAATGTATCGTTAACCCATGGTTCAGAATCTGAATGTATCGTTAACCCTTGGTTCAGAATCTGAATGTATCGTTAACCCTTGGTTCAGAATCTGAATGTATCGTTAACCCATGGTTCAGAATCTGAATGTATCGTTAACCCTTGGTTCAGAATCTGAATGTATCGTTAACCCTTGGTTCAGAATCTGAATGTATCGTTAACCCATGGTTCAGAATCTGAATGTATCGTTAACCCATGGTTCAGAATCTGGTTACAAGAGGCTCCTTGTAACTGGTTACACACTTAACTTCGCAAGATACTAGGTGACTTTTGAGTCGACTCAAGAGGCTCCTTGTAGCTGGTTACACACGTAACCTCGCAAGATACTAGCCTTACCTCACAAGCCAACGCCCTTACCTTGCATGGCAGGATGCTCACCGCGCATGGCAGGGTGGGGAGTCCTATCGGGCCACATGAGCCCGTTAATGCAGAAGTTAAGGTCGTTGGGTGTGTCCCCAAAGTCATATGAGAGGGTGCATACCTCGCATGCCAACCCACTTACCGCGCATGGCAGGGTGGGGAGTCCCACAAGCCCATTGATGCAGAAGTTGAGGTAACAGCCCCTCATAACCGGTTGCACACTTACCGCGCATGGTAGTGTGCTATATCCGCACATGACAATATGCTTACCGCGCATGGCAGGGTGGGGAGTCCTATCAGGCCACACAAGTCCATTAATACAGAAGTTAAGATCATTGGGTGTGTCCCCAAAGTCGCCCCCATACGCCCAGAACCTTCCAGGATGCTTCACTGGCAGCTCCACCTCCTCCCATGGCTGCTGCTGCTGCTGCTGCCTCCCTATTCCAGTTTTATCGCCGCTGATTTGTTTTTTATCAGGTACTGCTGCTGGCAATAATGCTGCTGACGTTGGTGCTGAGGATGCTGGTTCAGCAACTGCTGGTGCCGCTGCTGCTGCTGCTGCTGCTTCTCCTTCTACTGCCATCCCAGCCGTCGCTTCCCCTTCCTGTGCCAACTCAGCTGCTGAATCAGCTGCCGACTCAACCAATTGTGGCACTGAGTCTGGTTCCCCAGCTTCGACCGCTGCCGCACTTGGCATTTCCCCCACAGCACCAACACAAGGCAGATCACCAGCTGATTCTACAGCGTCTTTAGCATTCGGATCACTGTCAGGAGTTGCTGTTGCAGTGCCAGTGATGCCATTGCAGGTACCGCTGCTGGTAATCTTGTTGCTTTTGAGTCGACTCATAAGTGATCCTGCAGCATCTTTGCCATTTGGATCACTGTCAGGACTTTCTGTTACAGTGGCACTGATGCCACTGTAGGTACCGCTGCTGGTAATCTTGTCCACTTGTGTGCTGATGCGTGGAGCCATGTCCTTCCACAGCCCCTGAAAGGGAGGGAGATGAGGAGCATGGCATGAAGTGGGTGGTGCTTGATGAGGCGGAGTGGGGTGGGGTGGGGTGGAGTGGGGTGAGACTGTTTATCGCAAGATGGCGAGTGTCTATCACATGAATGGCGAGTAGGAAGGGAAGAGTGGGCGACCAAGAGGGGGGGATTTCTTAGCACTGCCTTTAATAATGACTGTTCCAGATAAAGGCTGTCTCGGGTAAAGCCTGTCCTGGATAAAGCCTCTCCCGGATAAATCCTGTCCCAGATAAAGCCTGTCCCTGTCTCACCCACCTGATCCACCCAGTCCCAGATGAAGCCTCCCTGCAGCCCGTGGGTCGACTCGATGGCATCCCAATGCTCCTCCACAGTAACATAGGTAACGCCTGTCCCAGATAAAACCTATCGCACCTGATCCACCCAGTCCCAGATGAAGCCTCCCTGCAGCCCGTGGGTCGACTCAATGGCGTCCCAATACGCATCCAGGTTGCCACTGCTGTTGCCCATGGCGTGGGCGTACCTGGGGGAGGTAATACATGGGGAGACAATGACATGATATGAGAGTCGACTCAATGGTTGTAGTTGTTGCCTCTGCTGTTGCCCATGGCGTGGGCGTACCTGGGGGAGGTAGTATTCAGGTGAGAAGGGGCATGGTGCATCGATGCCCATGCAATCCGTCAGGCATGGGCATGTACATGGGGCACACTAGGTCTCTGGCAGTGGTGCCAACCCAACCAATTTGAGCCACATAAAAAGTCCGACTCACTCGCAGAGGATGAGAGGGCGGGCCTCTTTGGGGTCGGCAGCTTTAGCCTTGATGTCAGGCACGCGCATGTACATGGGACAAATGATGTCCGAGGCAGCAGCAGGGGCGAGGAATGCAATCCAGTTGGGGGCAGGGCAGTACATAAGAAAACATCGATCAAATCACTCACTCGCAGAGGATGAGAGGGCGGGTCTCGGTGGGGTCTTGAGCAATGGCCTTGATGTCAGGCACGCGCATGTACATGGGGCAAACGATGTCAGTGGCAGTGGTGCGCGAGCCGCCCCCCTCGTAGTGTATGGGACGAGACGGGTCCCTGTGTCGCAACCATGCTGGATGGAAGAAGCGGGAGCAGGGAAAGTGAGGATAAGTTGATTGCAGGGAGTGCATATGTTATATGGTGCTGCAGTGTGGAGGAGCCGTCCCCCTCGTAATGTATGGGACGAGACGGATCCCTGTGACGCACCCATGCTGGATGGATGAAGGGGGAGCAGGGGGGGAGAGAGGGTGAGAGTGAGGTGAGGATGCTTCGCCTGAAATTAGGGAGCAGTGTACATTGCAGGGGTGTGGGGGCCTCCCCCATTCCTAGTGTATCGGTGCAGGATCTCCACACATTCCCTAACTTACTATCATCCATCCCCAATACTTCCGTCTAATCTACCCCACCTGCCATGGCATCATGCGTACTATCATCCATCCCCAATACTTCCGTCTAATCTACCCCACCTGCCATGGCATCATGCGTGACCCCATACCCCGCCTCGTTCCCCAGCGACCACACCACCACGCTCGCATGGCTCTTGTCACGCTCGCACATGCGCACCACCCGCGCGCCCATCGCTGCCATCCCCACACTATGCAACCTATCCTAACTACCATCCCCATAGCATCCCATCCCCATACCCTCCATCCCCAGACCATCAATCTGTCCCAATGCTTTCCCCATAACATCCACCTAGTCTAACCCACGGTCCCACCTGCCATGGCATCGTGCGTTGCCCCATAACCCGCCTCGTTCCCCAGCGACCACACCACCACGCTCGCATGGTTCTTGTCGCGCTCGCACATGCGCATCACCCGCGCGCCCATTGCTGCCGCCCACTCGGGGTCCTCGGCCGGCTGCCGCCCCTTCCTGTTGAGATGATTGTCTGGATCGAAGCCGTGCGTCTCGATATTAGCTTCATCTACTACCAGGAGACCAAAGAGATCCGTCAGCTCGTACCTGAGGGGAGAACGGGATGGGACGGACACAAGGAAGCAGGAGAGAGGTTGGATGAGAGGGAACGGACGGAGGGAAGAGAGAAGGAATGAGCCTGGGCACAAGGGTTGAGTTGAAATCCATGTTTTCTGCTGCTGCCGCCCACTCGGGGTCCTCGGCCGGCTGTTGACCCTTCCTGTTGAGGTGGTTGTCTGGATCGAACCCGTGCGTCTCGATGTTGGCCTCGTCGATTACAAGAAGACCAAAGAGAACTGTCAGCTCGTACCTGGGGAAGGTGCATGAGAGAGGGGAGGGAAGAGTGATGAGGTGTCTGGATCGAACCCGTGTGTCTCGATGTTCGCCTTGTCAATTACTAGGAGGCCGAACAGGTCCGTCACCTCGTACCTGAGGGGAGGAGGAGGAGGAAGGAGACAGATGAGAGGAAGCAACGGAGAGGACGGATGAAAGGGAAGGGATGAAAGGGAAGGGAGAGAGACGCCCCTTCCTGTTGAGAGGTGGTTGTTTGGATCGAACCCGTGCGTCTCGATGTTCGCCTCGTCGATCACAAGAAGACCAAAGAGAACTGTCAGCTCGTACCTGAGGGGAGAGAGGGAGGAGACGGATGAGAGGATTGGCACGTGTTTCCACATGGGAATAAGAGTCGGTATGGCATGGGCGTGGGTATGGGGTGGGCAAGCCACAAGGGCATGGGAACGGGAAAGGGAATTTTTTAAAATTCTAAAAAAAAACCCTCTAGCGGTATGGCGTGGGCACGCCGCATGGGCATGGGAACGGGAAAGGGATTGGGGATGGATGGAGAATGGCTGTGTGTGGCAGGGAGTTTTTGAAAATTCTCAAAAACTCCCTGCAGTGGCAGGCTATTGTGAGCAGGCGAACCGGGAGCTGACAGGGAGAGAAAATGGCCATTCAGGGCGGCGTACCAGCGGGAGTGGTTGGGGTAGTGGCTGCATCTCACAGCGTTCACGTTGTGTCGTTTCATCTCCACCACATCCTGTGAAGGTGGGGCCAGGGAGGGAGCAGGGCGGGAGTGAGGGAATGAGAAGAGATGCATATCCCAACTTAACCAGCGTCGCCTCACCTTGACCAGCGTTGACCAGCGTTGACTCACCTTGACCATGCATTCTTCGATGTTGACCTTCCCAGTCTGTGGATGGTGCTCGTGCCGGTTCACCCCTTTCACCTCCACAGCCCTCCCATTCACACCTTGACCAGCATTGACTAGCGTTGACTCACCACCTGCGTTACCAGCCCTTGACCAGCGTTGACTTACTTTGACCATGCACTCTTCGATGTTGACCTTCCCGGTCTGTGGATGGTGCTCGTGCCGGTTCACCCCTTTCACCTCAACTGCCTTCCCGTTCACCAGCAGCTCTCTCCCCCGCACCTCCACCCGCCTCACCCCCACCCTCGCCGCCTCCACCTGCTGTGGCCGCCCCGACGCATCTGCCAGTGTCACCACCAGCGTGTACAGGTGTGGCTGGGGTGCGGGAGGGGGAGGGGGTTGTGGGAGGTTTGAGAGTTCAGGGACCAGGGAGTCCTCGCTGCTTCCACCTGCTGTGGCCGCCCTGATGCATCTGCCAGCGTCACCACCAGCGTGTACAGGTGTGGCTGGGGTGCGGGAGGGGGAGGGGGTTGTTTGTGGGAGGTTTGAGAGTTCAGGGACCAGGGAGTCCTCGCTGCTTCCACCTGCTGTGGCCGCCCTGACGCATCTACCAGCGTCACCACCAGCGCGTACAGGTGTTGCTGGGGAATAGGGGATCAGAGGAAGGGAGAGGGGTGAGAAATCAGAGATCAGGGATGTGCAGCAGCTATCTGCCTCGCACCTCCACCCGTCTCACCCCCACCCTCGCCGCCTCCACCTGCTGTGGCCGCCCTGACGCATCTACCAGCGTCACCACCAGCGCGTACAGGTGTTGCTGGGGAATAGGGGATCAGAGGAAGGGAGAGGGGTGAGAAATCAGAGATCAGGGATGTGCAGCAGCTATCTGCCTCGCACCTCCACCCGTCTCACCTCCACCCTCGCCGCCTCCACCTGCTGTGGCCGCCCTGACGCATCTACCAGCGTCACCACCAGCGCGTACAGGTGTTGCTGGGGAATAGGGGATCAGAGGAAGGGAGAGGGGTGAGAAATCAGAGATCAGGGATGTGCAGCAGCTATCTGCCTCGCACCTCCACCCGTCTCACCCCCACCCTCGCCGCCTCCACCTGCTGTGGCCGCCCTGACGCATCTACCAGCGTCACCACCAGCGCGTACAGGTGTTGCTGGGGAATAGGGGATCAGAGGAAGGGAGAGGGGTGAGAAATCAGAGATCAGGGATGTGCAGCAGCTATCTGCCTCGCACCTCCACCCGTCTCACCCCCACCCTCGCCGCCTCCACCTGCTGTGGCCGCCCTGACGCATCTACCAGCGTCACCACCAGCGCGTACAGGTGTTGCTGGGGAATAGGGGATCAGAGGAAGGGAGAGGGGTGAGAAATCAGAGATCAGGGATGTGCAGCAGCTATCTGCCTCGCACCTCCACCCGTCTCACCCCCACCCTCGCCGCCTCCACCTGCTGTGGCCGCCCTGACGCATCTACCAGCGTCACCACCAGCGCGTACAGGTGTTGCTGGGGAATAGGGGATCAGAGGAAGGGAGAGGGGTGAGAAATCAGAGATCAGGGATGTGCAGCAGCTATCTGCCTCGCACCTCCACCCGTCTCACCCCCACCCTCGCCGCCTCCACCTGCTGTGGCCGCCCTGACGCATCTGCCAGCGTCACCACCAGCGTGAACAGGTGTGGCTGAGGGGGGGTGGGAATCTAGGGTTTGGGGAAGAAGGGGGATTTGTAAGGTTCGAGCAGGACAGATTTCAGGTCTGATAGGTTTGTAGGACCCGGTATGAAGGTTCTAAAGCACCTCCTGTACGGCCTGGTCTGACAAACACAGATCCTACAAACCAGACCAGGCACCTACAAACCAGGTGTCTGGTTTGTAAGACCTGGTCTGACAACCTATTTTTTAAGTTGACTCTATTCCTATTTTTGAAGTTCACTAGTAGCTCAACGCAGATGGCCCCAGCGGAAGCTTCTTTCTCACCAGATCAGGAGACCACAACACAAGTTTGTCCTTATCCACCTTGGCCTCCATCCGCACTCGCATCGTGTTCCCAATCACCACCACCTTATCATCCTTCCATCCTCCACTCCCCTCTCCCCCTCCTCCTCCCACTCCCACGCCTTCCCCTCCCCCATTTCCCCCTTCCCCTCTCTTATCACCCGCCCCCAGCCCTACAGCCTGGAAAACCGCCGCTTCAGGGAGCCTCAGCGCTTCTAAATCGTCTAATTCAGGGTCTTTAGGGGGACAGGAGGTGGGGGACATGGGGGCTGAGGAGAGGGAGGAGGAGGGAAAGGAGGAGGGATCGTGGGAGGGGGAGGAGGAGGAGGAGGGAGAGAAGGGGTGCTGAGATGGCGGCGGTGGGGGGGAGCGCCACGCGTCGAAGAGGTAGGCCTCGACGTGACAGCTGTCGTTAAGGGATTGGATGTCGCAGCGGGGCCAGCCCTCCAGCAGAACCTCTAGCTGAGCTCGAGGGAGGAGGAGGAGGAAAATGAAAGAAGGGGAGGAAGGGAGGGAGGAAGTAGGGAGTATTAGGTGTATGGAGTATTATTAAGTATTAAGAAGCCAGCCTTTCGGCAGCACCTAATACAGCTCTCCATACACACACCCACAGACCCACATACAACTTTTGAGGCGCCTCAAAAGCCGTCCATACACCCACCCACAGACCCACATACAACTTTTGAGGCGCCTCAAAAGCCGTCCATACACCCACCCACAGACCAGGGTTTAGGGTAGCACCAAGAAGCAGCAAGCATCGCATCTTCCCCGATGCAGACTGCACACCGTCAGCCACTTCAGTCTTCCCCTCCAAGTCCACATACAACCACACACAACCACATACAACCATGTACAACCGTATGAGCGGAATCAACCATCTCACCTTGACCGTTGCAGACTGCATGTCGTCAGACACTTCAGTCTTCACCTCCAAATCCGCTATATGCACCTGAAGGAGGCTCACAGCACACAGGAACACATAGAAAACAGGTACAGGACAGGAAACAGATGATTGGAACTAAGAAGTTCATATGCCCTCGGTTCTTAAGCAAGTCACCAATGGTCCTCGGATCGGAGACCCCCAGTTCACAGGGGAGGGGAGAGGATGAAGAGCTTGGCTGTGGGGCCAGATGGAGTGAATCGAACCCGACAGAGTGGAGAATAAGATCTCACCTGTGGGCGGCAGAGCAGAGTGACGTCGCGGTGCATGCCAGACAGCCACCAGTGGTCCTGGTCCTCCAAGTAAGACCCATCGCTCCACCGCACCACCATCACCGCCAACACATTCTCCCCTTCCGCTTCCCCTTCCCATCTCCATCCCCATAGTATCCCAATTCCATCCCCATCCCCATCTCCTTTCCTGCTTTCCTCTCTCTCCACCTCAGGCCCCACCTGTACTGTCACTGAACGAATCAAATCTCACCTGTGGGCGGCACAGCAGAGTGACGTCGCGGTGCATGCCAGACAGCCACCAGTGGTCCTGGTCCTCCAGATACGACCCATCGCTCCACCGCACCACCATCACCGCCACAACATTCTCCCCTTCCCCCATCCCCCTCACCAGTCCCCATCCCCAACCCCAACCCCGTCCGTCCCCATCCCCATACCCATCCCCATTCCATCCCATCCGCATCCCCTTCTCTGGTTTCCTCTCTCTCCACCTCAGGCCCCACCTGAACTGTCAAGGAATGAAATCGAATCTCACCTGTGGGCGGCACAGCAGAGTGACGTCGCGGTGCATGCCAGACAGCCACCAGTGGTCCTGGTCCTCCAGATACGACCCATCGCTCCACCGCACCACCATCACCGCCAACACATTCTCCCCTTCCGCTTCCCCCTCCCCCTCCCTATCCCCATCCCCATCCCCCTCCTCCCCATCCCCTGCTCTCTCCACCACCCCTCGCACCCGCACTTTCTCCTCTGCTTCACGAGTTTTCCCCTCCCGATTGTTCCCCTCGGAAGTGCCTTCTTCGCCCTTTTCCTTCCCACGCGTGATACAATAAGGTGTGACGTTGAACTCGGCAGGGAGGCGGCTGTCCTGGCTGTACCCCACGTAGTGACCGTTCAGCCACACGTGGATGGCGGAATCCACTCCCTCAAAGCACAGCGTGATGTGCTGGCCTGCCAGGGTGGAGGGACCGATGGGGAGGGGTGGTGGGAGAGACAGGTTTGCGAGTGCTGAGTTGCAGGCAGGCGGCTGTCCTGGCTATACCCCACGAAGTGACCGTTGAGCCACACGTGGATGGCGGAGTCAACTCCCTCAAAGCACAGCGTGATGTGCTGGCCTGGCAAGGGATGCATGGCAGCATGGAGAGCGAGGAGGGGCACGTGTGAGGGCCATGGGTGAGAGGGAGGTAGTGCTTGTTGAGCCACACTTGGATGGCAATCCACTCCCTCAAGGCACAGCGTGATGTGCTGGCATGGCAAGGGGGGGTTGATGGGAGCAGGAGAGAGGGGAGGGGTGGGTGGGCTTGGGAACACACCCCATAAAAAATCCAGAAACACCTGAAAACCACATGAACAGGAAGCGCAAGAGATCCCCACCTGACCAGGAGGCAGGGAGTGAGAAGCGGCGGCGGTAGCAGGCGGTGGGGTTGTCGGTGGGAACGAAGGGCGGCTGGATGGGGAAGGGGTACTGGATGTTGGTGTAGATGGGCGGGTCCTCCACCTCCTCCCACGCCCACGCTGCTGCTGCTGCTGCTGGCAGTGGTGATGGTGTTGCTGCTGTTGGATCCTCTTCTGTTTCTGCTACTGATGCTGCCGCGACGCTTCCAGTTTCGAGTGCTTGCTGCTGCTGTTGTTTCTGCTTCTTTTGCTGAAGCTGCAGCTGCCAGTGGGATGGGACTGCATGCAAGGGGGCAAGGAGGGGAAGGGAAGGGGGGAAGGGCAAGAGAGGCGGGGGGTGTTCAACAGAGGAGGAGAGAAGGGGAACGGCGAGGAGAAGGGAGGAAAGTAGGGAGGGAGGGAGGGAGGGAGGGAGGGAGGGAGGGAGGGAGGGAGGGAGGGAGGGAGGGAGGAATGTTTGCAAAAAAGGAGGAGGACTGTAAATGTGAGAAGCTGGCTGGTCTTGGTATAGGGGTAAATCTGCTAAGTCAGAATCAAGCTTAAGAACAATATTATAAGGCAACCACTTGCGAACCCATTACCTGGGTGTGTTGACCAATCAGAGACATCAAATCCAGGCGCAAAAAAACCCTCGGGAACTTCCTCAGGTCTCGGGAACAGCCGGAACCGCCAGGAGCCACTCAGAGAGGTGACACGTTGCAGCCCGTGGACCCACCACCTGGCGCTCCGTACCGCTGCCACATCAGCGCCAGCTCCAGGCGCCCAGGTGGCAGCATCTGCTGCCTCGAACGTGGCTGCTCTGTCTCGGTGGTACCAGAAACGAAGGGCGTCTGACGGGGCATTGGGAGGGAGGAGGAAGGGGAATAATATTTACAGTATGCTATGAACAGGACGAATCTCTTAATAACCAACGTTGTCGTATATTGAACGTTGATGATGAAATGATGATCAACGCTCATGTTGAACAACCAATCTCGAAATTGCAATGTGGTCGAAGATGGCCTGGGCGGCATCACATGTCCATGTAATGTAACCATCTGTACCATCAACAGTCGCATGGGAGTGCAAAGGCACGTGCGCTCTCTCCCTCTTGTACCCTAACATCGCTTGATCCTCCCACCACCGCCCGCGCAACACCTCCGCCACTCCTCCCCCCATTCCGCGCGAATTCCCGGACTCAACACCGTAATCTCCGCCTAGGCTCGCGCGTTCCCCCGCAACTTCCCCTGCGAAGACTGGCGGATATCTCCGTTTGCAGATTTTCGGGCGTCCGTTTCTCGGCAGAGATGGGAAGCGCGGTGAGTGCGAGACTAAGAGGCGCGAAGGACGCGGACGACAAGCGTGTAACGGTGCCGGATTTGTCGCAGGATTCGCAAGTGGTTGTTGGGAATTCTCAATATACACCAAAGCAAGGGGACGACGAGCGTGTAACAATGCGGGATTCGGTGTCAGATGCACGGAGCAATGCACGTGGCAGGTGCTCCAGGCAAGGAGCATGGAGTTGCGTGCTGAAATGCGGGTTTACAGAGAACGCGAAAATGGCACCATCTAATAAAAAATCTCGACCTCCCCGGCGAGGAGTGATAAGGCAAGGGATGAAGAGAAGATGGAAATGGAGGCATGAGGGGAAGATTGGTCTGTGAAATGCTGGCATGGCAGGAATTCATGGAGGAGTGTGTAACTGTCTGTCTAGGGTTGTTGACAAATCAGATCCACATATCTCTCTTTGACGTTACGGAACTTACTGAACCGTAATCTTTGCTACTTCTGTTTGAGTCACGTCTCATCCCGAATCTCTCCCTCTGTCGGGAGGAAATGGAATCTGTGCGAGTTTGACGAACCCCTTTTGAAAAACTCGAGGTTGGGTTGGGACGATGCTTTCAAGAAAGCGTTCGGAGCTTTCAAGGAAAGATACGTATCGATATGTTACTGTCATTCTAGATTCAGATTGTTGACAAAAATTTCAAGGTTATATAAACCCTTGTGCCGTTCGTAGAGGCATGCGCGTGGACATAAACTTGTACGACATTAGCAATTGTTATGGGTGCAATGAATCGAAGTAGCGAGAATTGCACTAAGGTGTCAAACGAGTACAAAATGTGAGCGAAGGCATGAGCGAACATTTATACGCGAAACATGCAAACGGTAACGCGGTGCGTGCGAGCTAGCTAGTGCTACGCTGGAGCGAGGCTCGGGCTAGTCCCGAAGCGTAGGCCGACACGGACATGCCAGCAGTGCGAGGTTTGGTGAAAACTGTCAAATGTTGCACATTGATGTGATAGGCTGTAGTGAGTTGCACTCTAGGGGGTACAGCTTCTAGGGTTGCTTATTTGTACCCCATTCGTTTTCTTTCCAATCATTCCGTTGCGTTCACTGTTTGAGATGGTATCACGAGTAGTTACGTTCCTAGCCTAGCCCTCGGTGCGCCTAACGCCCTCCGCGCCCTCCGTCGCGCCTAGCGCCCTCCGCACCCTCCGCGCCCTCCGAGATTGTTGCGCACTCGCGCTCCTAGCCCGCGCCCCTTAGCGTGGCCCTCAGCCCGCCCCCCCCCTTAACGCGCCCCTTCGCGCGCCTAGCCCGCGCCCTGCCCCTCGCCCGCGCGACGCCCGTAGGCCCTGCCTCAGCCCGTCGCGGCACCCGTAGGCCCTGCCCCAGCCCGTCGCGACGCCCGTAGGCCCTGCCCCAGCCCGTCGCGACGCCCGTAGGCCCTGCCCCAGCCCGTCGCGACGCCCGTAGGCCCTGCCCCAGCCCGTCGCGACGTCCGTAGGCCCTGCCCCAGCCCGTCGCGACGCCCGTAGGCCCTGCCCCAGCCCGTCGCGGCGCCCGTGCGCCCTGCCCCTAGCCAGCGCGTAGCCCGTAGGCGCTGCCCCAGCTCGTCGCGGCGCCCCTACGCCCTGCCCCTCGCCCTCCGCGCCTAGCCCGTCGCCCACGCCCCAGTCCTATACCGTCGCGCCCTCCCCCCGCCTTTTCCCACCGTCAAAACAACCCTCCCTGCCCATTCCCACCGTCAAACCGCCCTCCCCGCCCATTCCCACCGTTATAACCGCCCTCCCGCCCATTCCCACCGTCAAAACCGCCCTCTCGCCCATTCCCACCATCAAAACCGCCCTCCCGCCCATTCCCACCGTCAGCATCATCCTAGCCCGCCCGATCCGCACCTACCCTCGACACGTGACCGTTTTTCACCCCTCCTCCGCCCTGTTTCCCGAGCCCTCCCCATTCTCCCGATCACTGGCCTTCACCTCAGCGGCTGGCAGCCGCTCATACCTCCGGTAGCTAGCCGTAGCGCCGAATCCTCCCTAGCTCCTAGTCGCTCCGTCCCTGGCATCCCTAGCCGTTCTCCGCCTCACCTCGTTTGCTCCTTCCACTATCGGTTCACTCGTAGCGTCCCACCTGGCGTCTCTCGCCCTCAGTAGCCGTCCTCCACGTTCTTATCTTAGCCTCCGCCGTGCTCCAGCCGCCTCGAGCATGTCTTCCGTTATGGAGTCTCGTCGCCTCCGTTTCGACGCGGAGGGACGCCCGGTAGAGTTCGGCACCTGGCAGCGCCAGACCACACGCTTCCTCACCAGCCAGCGACAGGACGGCGCCACTCTGTGGGCTCACGCGTCTGGTGCCCTACTGGCCCCCCCGTCCCCCGCCGCCCTGCCTACCACCCCGGAGCCGACCCCTACGGCCCAGGCGGAGTACGACCGTCGGGTCCTGGCCAGGGACGTGTGGCTCTCGCGTGACGCTGCCGCCGCTCTCACACTATCGGAGCTTCTCCCCCTGACTGAGGCCGCCCACTTTGACCAGGTGGAGACAACCCAAGGGGTGTGGGATGCTATTGTTGCCCGCTACTCCACCCCCTCCTCTGCCTCCCTCAGTCACCTCCTCATGCCGTTTGTGTTTCCCGACCTAGGCTCGTTTGCGACTGTTTCCGATCTCGTGACTCACCTCCGCTCGCTTGACGCCGGTTTCCGTGCTGCCTGTACCGACGCACAGCTCCTTGTTGCTCCCCCCCCCATGTGGCTCACTGTGCACTGGTTAGTCACCCGCCTCCCTGGCCGCCTTGCCACTGCCCGCGACGCGCTTCTTCAGAAGCACTCCACTGAGCTCACTATCGACCTCCTAGCAACTGCTCTAGGGACCATCGAGAGCAGTCTCCTCACCGTTGCCTCCGCCACTGATGCGGTGGCCCCCCGTCTCTTTGCGGGGTGTGCCGCCCCTCAGCTTCCCACTTTCACCGCTACCCGCGCTTGTGTTGCTGTGTCGGTCTCTAAGGACACCGCTTCCGTTTCTGCCGCAGACTGGCAGAAACGGGGCAAGAGTGGCAAGAAGGGCGGGAAGGGGGGAGGTGGAGGCGGTGGAGGCGGCGGTGGAGGTGGCGGTGGAGGTGGGAGCGCCGGTGGTGGCGGAGGCGGCGGCGGCGGCGGTGCACCTGGGGGAGGGGGGCTTGGAGGAGGTGCTGGACAGACAGGCCCACCCACAGGTGGTGGCCCGACCGCTGGGGGCGTTCCCCCCCAGCAGCAGCAGCCACAGCAGCACCTGCCACAGCAGGGACAGCAGCAGCAGCAGGGACAGCAGCACCAACAAGCGCCGCAGCAGTTCCTGCAGTGGGGGCCCCCGCTGCAGTGGGGTCCGCAGCAGCACTGGGGTCCCCCGCCGAAGTGGGGTCCGGGAGGCCCTGGGAGCACCAGCCGCAACAGCAGTACTTCCAGCTGGGCCCCTCGTCCCCCTCGCCGTGACGCTGGCCCGTGCACCCACTGGTGCGTCACCGGGCCGGGTAGCCCCTGTCTCTGTGGTCGTGACGACCACTCTGCCGCGCGGTGCTTCCGCCGCCTCGACGACCTCTACCGGGCTCGTTGGGGCCCTCTGGCGGTCACGCCTCGCTGGTCTCGTCTGTTAGCCCGTAAGATTGATGTATTTGCTTTGTCCATGGACGATGCGCGTCAGCATGCTTTGTATGTTGATGCTGACTTTAGTGCTGATGCATCTGGGTGCTCGCGTGTTCGTAGGTCAGCCTGCTTGCCTCCTGCCAGTGTAGCCTTGTGCCTGTCTAGCTTAGGTGCTTGTGTTGATGCTCTAGGTGCTTGTGTAGCGACTGGGTCAGGTGACCCACCGGCTGAGGCCTCTCTTTCGTTCACGCTGGACTCGGGCGCGTCTCAGTGCTTCTTCCGCGACCACACGACCCTTACGCCATTGCTCACACCTGTGTCGGTGGCTCTGGCTGATCCTACCTCTGAACCAGCCGTTGCGCGTAGCTCCACCACCCTCCCGTGCCCTGTGGTCCCCTCTGGTGT